CCCCCCCCCCCCTGATTACAGCAGATTTGTAAACACAGACAAGATTTTCATATTTTGAATTAAAAAGTTATCATTATCATACAAAAAATATGCGATGACATGTGTTTGTACATACTGATACAATCATTCATATTCTGTGTTTTCACTCACGTGGCCAGCATCTATGCAAATTTATTGGAACAAAAGAAAGCGTTTACGTAAGAAAAGAGTTCAACTCCCGCTGGACTGGTTTGGGACACAAACACGGCCGCCGTTTCATTGTTTTGGGACACAAACATGGCCGCCATGACGTCATGTGAAAACACACAATAAAAAGAATAAAGGCAAAATTATGAATGTCTCCTAGGCTCAATTCTTGAAACTTAATTTGCTTGACTGTAAGAGGATTAGTAATGATATCACAAATGCTGAATGCCATTTTCAGTTACAAACCTTACAGTCTGTGACCATACTAGTTTGCAGTATTTCTTTATTAGACTAAAGATCCCTGAAGAAAGTGGTGCTCAAAATTGATTATAAATAGGACACAACCCACTGTGCATGTATAGACTACGAGCAGTCTCTCTTTTTTCTTGGTCCGTCCAGCAAAACGCCCGAGACAAGCAAATGACCACGCGCGTGACTGAAGGCGCGAGACGGGAGAGGCCGCCCTCGTTTCTCGCGTCTCGCCACTTCGCCGCTCAACGCTCGCACGTGCGTGCACTCCCCTTAGTAAATCTGAAGAAAAAGAGAGGCTGCTCGCAGTCTAGTACATGTATTGACATCTTTATTTAGTTTTCATTTACTTCATGTGTGCGAAATACAGATGGTAAAACAAATAACAAATGCAAACAGGGTGCCAACAGACGGTGTTACTAAACAGAGTAACGCAGTAACGAGTAACGGAGTAACCAGAAAACGAGTATCGGGATAAAAATTCAAGAGGTTAAAAAAATAAATAAATAAATCCTTACGAAGGAAAAACATAAAAGTGGGTGTAATATCCTAATAATGACCTTTTCCAATCTCGAAAAATTTGTGTATTCCAAAAGTGCTTAAAACAACGACGTCAACCCCCGCCCCCCCCCACCCCCCCCCCCCCCCCCCCTCACTCCACCCACTGCCCACCCACACCCTCCCCGCGCCAGCCACTCTTCTCTACCCCCTACCTCTTCTCACTTTAGTGCTCTCCACCCTTTCACACTCTCACACTCCTATCTTCGACCACCTCACGGCATATTCTCTATCGNCTCAGTATACGTTGGATCCTGTCCTTGTAAACTTATACTTTAAGGGAGCTTAATACCTATATTAATTTTTCTTCGTTTAGTGTTGTCCAACAGACCCAGTTTTTTGGCATTTTTTAAAAAAGCAAGAAAAAGAAACGACAAGGTTTATTTTTTTTGGACTTAAATTAATTCTTTTAATCTAAGAAATGAGCATTATAACAGCATTTACAAGCATAAAACGTTTCGTGCTGTATCCTTTTTGCTTTTTACCCTTTTTGGGCCTTTTTTTATGAAATTGACCTTCACATTTTCCGCCATGTTGAGTGTCGATTTGGTGACCATGTCTTGTTGTTTTCAGGCTCCACGGCAATGATTTTCAGGCCTCCTGTTCTCAGATTTCTTGTGACTTTTTTTTCACCCCACCGACCGACCCACCCAAAACCAGGAAACCTATTCGACGCTAAACGAACGAAAAGGGGATGACCTAAGCCTTATGGTTTTTTTGGGGGCTTCGTCACCACATTGCTTCTGCGTATTTCTGTATACTTGTCTTTTGCTTTGTTTTTTTTTTTCTTTTTTGTCAGTAAAATAAACTGAAACTGTACAAAGACCCTCAATATTCCCTTTGGAGGCTCTCGAACGCGCATAAAAAAAATGAAAAACGCGATGATTTATTGACCGCAGGGGCAATGGGGTGGGGTTAGGGCTCGTTACTGCGCTCCGGTTCACTCGTGCGCTGTCAAATGGTCCCGATATACAAAATGAAAAATGACTGCGGACAGACTATTCACGTCTAGACATCAAGTATCTTTTGAGATGGGACTTATCGCCTCTCCCTGTTCATGGAGTTGATTCAAGGTGTTGACGTCCATTTTGTGCTGCCCTGCATGTTGCCGGGACATGTTTCAAAAGGGCCTTCCACAGCTATGGCGTCCGCCGTCACCTTGTCAACCGTGCGAGAAATGATGTACTTCACAAAAACAAAGAGATGGGCTCCTGAGAGAAGTTATTTTCGATTTGCCCCACCCCCTACCCCCGTAAGTCCCCGACAGGACCGCTTCAAAGTACTCCCCACCCCCGGGCCCAAATGACTGGACTTGTTCCTGTGGTTGTGAGGGGGATAGTAACAGGTCTAACTAATTGCACCGTGCATCAATGACAGTTTAGCTCAATCAGAAGCCCCTTTTCCCTGGCTAGGTCAAGGTGTGTGCACCTCCTTTAAGCTGTTTTTTTCGGTTCTTACTGAAATGTTTGATCTTGAGGAAATTTACAACGACAGGAGCAGGTTATGGGCTTTTTTCCTACCCCTAATCCTACATCACGGGAAATTGGGAAATCCGTCAGGTTAGGCAAGAATTCGATAATCCCTCCATAATCATCCATTTTTTCACCACGTGAACTGGGTACTTTTTAGCTTACTTCGAGGAAATACTTTTTGTTTCAAATCCAGGGTGGGCTTTTAAACACATTTTTTAAGCCAAATGGTTTTTGCGTGAATCTGCTTACCCGAACTTT